CATGGTGACAATAGTGAAGCTATTACAGCACATCAAACTTAGGAATGAGCATATTAATGGCTTGAAGAAAACCCCATTTTGGTTATTGTTTGATGTAATATTGAAAAACAAGATGAATTGTAAACAATGTAGAAAATATGATAACATTGCATTGAAAATAATTCAAACATACCAGCCAGGCAGCAGTGGTTCTTTCTAGTTAGGACCAGAAATTGTAAAGCTAATAACAGAAGACATCAAGTCCATCTTCGGTATATCTTGTGGAGATGAGCCGATACATCTTGGTTATGGAAATAAAAGTATATCATCATTTCTGACAAGAAGATGTATACAAACTGAAAGGCTATCGAGCACAACCATCACCGACTTGTTAAGACACTGAAGATGTGATAAGGATGCTGTGTATGTTTACTTTTTTGAAGCTTTTTTTCTCTACATCAGGAACAACAGTTGGATGGGTATTTCTTAATTACATGGAAGACATAAACTTAATGAGCAAATACAATTGGGCAGAAGCAATAAGGAGCACACCGATGCCTTCAATTGAAAAATACCACAAAAATCTAGCAAAAGTCACAGGATGTGTTATGGCTCTCTTAGTAAGTACATCTTTACTCTATTTTATTAGTTTGTTGTTAATAACAAATAGTATTATTTCTTATTCAAATGACAAAAATTCTTTACATTTGCTTTGTAGTATTGGTTGTGTGAGCACACACTGATCATCCACCCTGAAGTTAGCAAAGCATGCCCAAGGGTGATCAAGTGGAATCTTACCAAATTACATAAACGTATAAAAGTCATATCACTACATCAGCTGACAACAAGATAGGTCACATCCTCATCTCATTGGAATTTCAATTCAAGTTGGAAAAAATCCCTAATTTTATACACTAAATTATTACTGAGAAACTTTTTAGTTTCTTAAACTTTAATTATTTCAAAAACTAATATCTATTGTATGCTGACCTACAGGTAACTAGTGCTCAATTGAATGAGGAAAGTGATGAAAAACTTGATGACACTGAAGAAAAAGAAAAAGAAGATGCTGAAAATACTGAAGATGAAGAACAAGAAGATGCTGAAGAAGAAGATGCTAAAGAAGAAGAACAAGAAGTACAAGAATAAGAACAACAAAAACAAGATGCTGAAAATAATGAAGAATAAGAAGAAGATTCTAAGGAAGATGAAGAAGAAGAAGAAGAAGAAGAAGATGGTCAATATGCTGAAAAGTGCCACCAAGAACAAAAGCCAACAAATGAAGACTTTAATGGCTTCTGCAACATTATACTCAATGATGCACCTGAGGGAGAAGAACAAATTCATCAACAAATTCTTGAGAAACTTCAAACTGAGAACAACAATTTGCAACTAGACAACACAGTGAAGACCATCTACATAAATAAACTTGAAGAGGATAATAGGCTACTCACAGCACAAATACAACAATTGAAAGATGAAAATTTTCGATTGCATAACCAATTGGTTGAAAAAGAGGTCCATGAAATAACCCAAGAAGTATGTGCAGTAAAACATTCTGGGACAGATGCAAAGAATGAAGGTCATACAATAAATGATGAAAATTCTCAAGTGCTGCAGAAAGAGGTCCATGAAAATTCTGAAGTGGTGGACAAAGAGCTCTATTAGAAAGAGGTCCATGAAAATTCTGAAGTTGTGGACAAAGAGCTCCATCAAAAAGAGGTCCATGAGATAATGTAACAACCTTTTGCAACAAAACATTGTGAAACAAATACAAATGTAAAATATTGTCAAAATTCTTAGTTACAGAATCAGTTAGTGAAGGAAGAAGTCCATGACTTAACCCAACAAGTTTGTGCAATAAAAGCCGATGATCTGACAGAATCAAGACAAACAAATCTACAGAATTCCATGATTAAAAATATCAAAGCTAAAGCAAGGAAGACTACTGAGGTATCAGATTATGAGTATAGAGGCAAAAAAGTTAAAGTTGAGAAAGAGAAGGAACACAAAGATGAGACAATTTCAATCAAGTATGTTGTGGCTCAATTGCTACCTCTTGAAGATAAATATAAACTACAAATTCTTTGGAAAGAAAAGCAAACAGAATCAAGGTATAATCTTACATAAATCTTTCAATTTTTCATGTAGTACAAATATATGAAATGAAACTGAGAAATAGCTCTGTTTTCTAAAAATATTCTGACTTAATTATTAACACATTTTTTATTGTTTTGTAGTGCTTGGCGCAAGATATGACAATTGTGTGTTTATTAATGATATCAAGAACTTGGTAAAAGGAACAGACATATCCAGCTGTGTACGTATAATATTTGTAATATTTTAACACTGAAAAACTTCTCATTAATTTGTTAACATCACTTTTGTGTTTCAATTTGATAGACAATTGATGCATATGCTAAGATTCTTGAAAGAGAACCACAAACACAGAATTCTGGTAATGGAGCAGAGCACAATGGCAAGTCTTTCATACTGTCAAGTCTATATTGGGTAAGGAATAAATATGCATGTGTCAATTCTATACTTTATCTCACTACGCCAAAATTGGGCTTTAGCGGCGGTTTTTTACCGCCGTTAAAGGCTGTAAAACCGCCGTTAAAGCCTTTAACGGCTGTTTTGTTACTGCCGTTTATGCGCGTGTCGAAAAAAGTACAACCGTCGTAAAAAGGTAAATTATCGTCGTTAAAAGTCGATCAAAAACGGCAGTTTTTTACCGCCGTAAATAGGTTCAAATTTTTCAAAAAATAATTCTTTCTTCTTGCACTCCCCAAGTCTTGAACCCTCAACCTCTCATCCACCCATACTAACCACTCTACCATAGCCACTCTTCATGAAATATATTTCCTAAATAAATATTTAAACATTACTTTTACTTTATTGTAGATGGTTTTGCCGGAGCTCGCCGGAGTTTCGCCGGAGCACGCCGGAGTTTCGCCGGCAAAGACCGCCGTCATTAACGGCGGTAATGATTGGGCATTAGCGGCGGTTTTGTTACCGCCATTAAAAGTGGGCATTAACGGCGGTTTTTTTTTAACGGCGGTAACAAAACCGCCGTTAATGATACCTTTAACGACGGTTTTCGTTACCGCTGTTAAAAAAACCGCCGTTAATGCCCTATTTTGGCGTAGTGTCTTCCGTTCAATTTTGGTTTCAAAGTAGATTTTTTTTGTTTGTTATCATTGCTGTGAATATTCTCAAATTTTGATTTTGGTATCATTGCTGGGAATATCCTCAGATTTCAAAACAATTTGAGTGATAAATCGTAGTTAATCATGTTTTGTTGCTTTTCATCGACATATGAATATTGAGTTCGTACCATTACTGTGAATATTCACATATTTTTTGTAAAAAATAGCCACTATTGAAGAAGAAAACTTTAGAACAAAGGAAAAAGATTTTGAAAAATACTTTGCAAGAATCCCTCCCATGTCGATACATCCATATCCCCATCCACAATTTCAATCATTGGACATTACTTCTTATCGACAAACACTTGGGGACTTGGAAACATTTCAACTCTTTGAGACCAAGAAAAGGAAAGGACAAGCACTACAACGTTGCAAATCAACTGGTAAGAACAATTTCAGATTAGCATTACAATAATCAGATGTAAATCATTACATACTTTATATTGATGTTTTTCACAGCAAAAAATCATCCATCAATACATGAAGGATACACCTTGTCAAGCAGAAAAAGCCTGGAATCCTGATGTCAAGATTAAATCAATCAAAGACAGCCCTCAACAAGAAGCAATGACGTATGTTAATTTATTCTAACTAATAAATTTTAATATCTTTTTCAAAAAAAATTCTTTTTTCTCTAACTGTGTCAAAAATGATTTCTATAGAAATGACTGTGGAATTATTGTTTGCTACATCATAAGACAATACATGAGGCATCAACCAATTCCAAACGCATTAGCACCACGCACATCCACAAGACTGAGAGCATACATGGTATATGAGTTCCTTAGTGATCCACAAAGATCAATCAGAGTCAAGTAGAGTCAAGATTGCAACATTCAATGAAATCTTTTTTGATGTATAACTCAATGAACTCTTTTTTGTAACACTCTGATACAATGTCTAATGTTTTTGTTAATAGTTCCAAGCGTATTACCTAACAAACATATTACAATTTTTATGATGTGTAATGGAATATTTTGTTATACTCTCAAAGATATATGCACCCGAGCTTTGTTGATATTTTTGTCCATATTCTTAGTTTCTATTATCATGTTCCTCACACTACTATATGGGAAAAGCGAAAATAGTATTACATGTGAAAATAGTGTTACATGTAAAAATAGTGGACACAAGACTTTACTGTATCACAATCAGTGCTTTGTTGATGTTTTTGTTTATATTTTCAATTTTTATGCAGTGTTTTGTTGCCTCACAATCACTTATTTTCAAACTTAGAAACTTTAAAACTAAGAATATTTTCAGTTTTATACAGATCACTCAATTTTCAAACAACAATATTATCACAACAATTTATTTGCTGCCTCACAATATTATGACAATTTGAAAAACTAAAATTCGAAACAAAGAATATTTTCACTTTTAGTCCACTGTTACTTTAATCAAAACATAAAGCATTGACCACATCTATTTAGAATATTAATTCACATTCATTCAATTGATCACATTTACAACTAGTTCCAATTCATAACAAGAGCCTCACACTATTATCACAAAATTAGCTATTTTGAACTAAAAACTTAAACTGAGAATATGTTCACTTTTTATACAGTATTCACATAATTTTCAAAACAAACATTCAACAATCAAGTTTATTTCTGAAAGCCAACAAAACAATATTATCACAAACAATTTCAAAATTAAAATTTGAAACTAAGAATATTTTCACTTTCAATTCAATGTCACTTTATTCAAAACATAGAAGATTATTACTCAGCGTTCAACAGCACAAACTGCTACTTCAAGAAATTTATGAATATGAAATTTTTACAATCACAAAGCAGCTACAAAAAATCACAAAGCCTCCTTACACGATTTCTTATTGTGATTCCCAACCTTCCCACATCTACTACAAGTAATTTGCCTCACTTTCTCACCATTCGAACGAATCCTCTTCTTATTTGGCCTTCCTGGTTGCTTCTTAGACAAAGGAGGAAGAACAATTTCACTATCACCATCAACATTACAATCTGGTTTCCAAATTGAAGGAACATGATATATGGGAAAAGAATAGGACTCTCGATAACTTTGAACATAGAAGTATTGATTAACAAATAAACTCAAATTATGTCCACTCTTTTGTATAGCACCAACTGCATGTGCACATGGAAACCCTTTCAACTGCCACTCGCCACAAGAACATATCTGTCTACTAATGTCAACTGAAACAGATGGATGTGAATGCACCTCATAGACATCATTTCCAGATGAACTAACAATCCATGGCCTCGAAGTATTAAAACCATCATGCAACTTGGACTCCATTTTAGGGCATATCAAACCATTCCATTTATTAACAAGTTCCCTCCTCTTAGCAATTTTCCTCATCAACTTAATTCTTACACTATCAATCAACTTTGTGTTACGCAAGTGGCGTTCCTCTCGTATCCACGAATTGGAAGATTCAACTACATTTGACCACATCTCTCCAAAGCGTTGCCCTCGAAAATATGCATTACTCTAATGATCATATGGTATGTCATCTAAAAACTTTTCAACTCTTGACCCACCTTCAGTCTTTAACTCAACCAAACATTAATGAAATGTTTCTTCAGTTGGAGCATATGCACATTTCCCAAATAGTGTGATCAGCTTTTTTTTCAATCCATGAAACATACCACGCAAATGATGCCTCAAGTTCATCTTCAAATGATATAAACAATAAGCATGGAAAGCCATTGGGAAAACCTTTGGCAACATTTCAACTAATCCAAGGTTACGATCTGACACAAATGTAATATTTCGTTCTGGTGAAACAATTCTACTCAAATGCTCCAAAAACCAACGCCAGTTATCTTGATTCTCTGAGCCAACAACTGCAAAACAAACAGGAAAGAACCCTGCATGTACAAAACAGAAAAAATGAAAATATTCTATTATTGTTAGAAAATGGTAACACTTTAACATTCAAAATATCAAATACGAAAATGAATAACTGAAAAAATAAAAAATGCATATACAACAACAATATTATATAAAATTTAAAACATTCAATCATATTTCTAAACTGAGAACTTTCTCAATTTCAAAACAGAGAAAACAGATTTCTTTTGTACCTTGATTTCCATCTTTTCCTGTAGCAGCAAGTAAATTTTCTCTAAATCTTCCTTTTAAAAATGTGCCATCAAGGAATAAGAGAGGTCGACAATAATCAAATCCACTAATGGAACCATGAAAAGAAACAAATAATCTCTTAAACCGTTTAGTATCATTGACACACTCAAACTCAATGTAACTCCCTAGATTACAACTCTTTGCAACATCCACATACCATCTTAACTGGTCAAATGACATTAAGTAGTCTCCAAAATCTCACCTTTTGCTTTCTCTACCCCCAACCAAGCTTGACAATAACTAACTCTCAACCCATACCCCAACTTAAAATCCCAAACAACATGAACTGGACGTGTCAATGGATTATCACGAACACCTTCAACAATCAAAACAGCAACTAAATCAGAACTCATGCAAGAATGATTCATCGTACGTACTTCAGCACCACATGTGTGGACATTGTTCAATTTCCTTATATAAAAGAACCAATTAGCATTCTCCACTCTACTATGAACATTCCACATACAACTTTTTGTCTCTCTAAACAAACATTGTGCGGTAACACAAACTCTATCATTCTTAACAAATATGAACTCAAATCCACACTCAATAGAAAACTTCGACAATGCATTACGAAATTCAACAATTCCACCTTCAAATTTCTATCCTACATGTGTAATACTAACTGCCCAACCAGCAGACAACAGTACTTTTTCCTTGTGTCGAAAAAATGATGATAACATATCAACCTCTTCATCAACCTCCAACCTCGAATTCCTTTTGGAGGATGTAGATGCTCTGTTTGACAAGTTCACAGACTTACTGTTGTCATGAGACAATGCAATATCACAAACTTCAAGATCCAACATTGACTCTCTTTCTCCATAATCCAATCTTTTGTTGAGATAATCACAGTTAATGGTTGAGTCTTTTACTCTCACAACAACATCAATACACTTTGAATCAAAATGCACAACTAATGCCAACAGCAAATCTAACTCCTCATTGTTGTCCAACGTACAATTAGGATGTCCAGGCAATGAGTAAGATAGACAAATATTATCAGATTGCAAATTATCCCATTTCAAACATAACTTCTCAACCAACTGATCATATGTAACATTTTGATCAATCTTAATTGCAAATGTGCAACCATTATACTTGCACAACAAAAAAATAGGTGCATTTGTACAACCTTCACTCATCTTTCAATCTAAACAAGAAAAAAAGATCGTATCAATAAAAACCAGAACAATACTAAGTACTTTCTCAGTTTTCACAAATACTTCATAACAACAAACACCAGAACAAAAAACTTCATAACAATACAAATACTTCACAAATCACGTTTTCAATTCATAAAATAAATAACCAAACTGAGAAATCATTCAACAAATCACATCTTCAATTCGTAAAAACAAAATTATTCAACATATTTTCATAAATAAATTCAATCAAAACTAAAGAAAATTCTAAAAAAACATAATATACAAAATCGAAACAATACATACCTATAAACCAGATCGAAGATCAAATATCCAACAAATCAATTCTTCAATTTATAAATCGAAATTGCACATAACAAACTCCAACAGATTTCAACTCAAAATGCGAACCAAACTAAGAAATCCTTTAAGATCCTTTCCTATTCGAATCAAAATCGAGAAATCAATTATGTATAATAGCGAACCAAAGCAATAAATCCTTCAAGATCATTCACGATTCGAATATTCAGCTATTTCCATGACTGATCTGTTAACTGATTTCTTTTTTCTTTCTAATAAATAACGTGAATGAAATTTTATATACAGTTATTTATGTTAAAGGGTAAACACGTCTATTTATCTAAAAATGAGACTTATTAGTTCAAATTTTTTTTGATAGGACTTAATCTACAACCAAACATATTGACAGGAACTTTTAGGAAATTGTCTCAAAAATAAATTAAAATATCTTTTCCACCGAATAAGAGCATCTCCAACGGTAATAGGCATTTTACATATCTAAACATTACTATAAAGTATACATTTTATTTTGCCTATCAACTGTTTCATGTTTCTGCTCCAACCATGCTCTTTATTTTAGCTATTCGTCCAAATACTATTAATTTTATAAAATGCCACATCAGCAACAAAGATGGAGGGAAATAATCTTAATGATTAAATACATTTTACCTAGCCTTAAAGGCTAGCTACATTTAGCTAGTGAATTTGAGTTGAGCTAAAATGCCTAATCACATGCCTAGTGCATTGGAGTTGAAAAAAGTGAGTCATACTAGGCATTTTACCTAACAAGCATTATATGCCTAGTGCGTTGGAGATGCTCTAAGAGTTGAAAAAAAAAGTTTTGGCTAAATTTTCCCTTTGTCAAAACAACCCATTGGGTCGGTATCCCAATTAATGTTCCAACTTCCAGATAGGGAGATATCATCCAAATTGCCGCCCCTTTTTTCTTCTCTCTTCTCTCTAAAATCTCACATTCTCTCTCTGTCTCTCTGTCCAAATCTTCGAGTCTTACCAGATTCAAAAAAGCTTCTCTACTTTTTGCTCGCCATGTCCGTGCGCAGACGAACTTTGCTTAAGGTCATCGTCCTCGGCGACAGTGGGTACGATTAATTTTCTTCTTCATTTTTATTTGTAGGGTTCAATCACAACTTGATTTCTAATTCCGTAATTTTTTTTATTTATAATTTTATTGATTTTTATTCTTATTTTTGTTGTCAGGGTTGGTAAGACGTCATTGATGAATCAGTATCCTTCAAATAAAGAATTTTCATGTTTTTATTTTCCTGAATTTTGAAGATCGCAGCTTCAATTTTTGTATTGTAGCTCAATCTTCAAATCTCCATATTGATTGTTTTTTTAATTACAAGTCAATTGTTTCGCTATTGGGTCTGAAAATTGCTTTCATTTTTCTTTGAATTTTTGACCATGGAATCCAATGAAACAGTTCTAAAATCCCAACTGAGAGAGCTACTTAAGCTTATTTTTTATGTTATTTGAATTAGTATTTGTGGGTATTTAACTGCTTACTGGATATGTACATAAGAAGTTCAGTCAGCAATATAAAGCTACAATTGGGGCTGATTTTGTCACCAAAGAACTACAAATTGATGACAGGCTTGTCACTCTACAAGTGGGTTCTCAGTTCCATTTCAGTTTTATTGTTCTGTGCCTGGTTTTTTCTAGAGCATGCTTGATCAATATCTCTCTATTTGCTGTGTGATTGTGTGCTTTGCTTTGGTAGATATGGGACACAGCTGGGCAGGAGAGGTTTCAGAGTCTCGGTGTTGCCTTTTATAGAGGGGCAGATTGCTGTGTTCTTGTATACGATGTTAATGTCATGAAATCATTTGATACTCTTAACAACTGGCATGAAGAATTTCTCAAACAGGTTAGTTACCATCTTTATCTCATTGCTGCCAATGTTGAACAATTTGTCATGTATCTTTTAGCTTTGGTCTATTTGTCTTAATGAGCGTGTGTAAGTGTAAATGAATCAATAAACAACTGCCGAGGCCCATTGTTTAAATTGCACATTATGCCTAACTTACAAGATAGTCAATCAATCATTTCAGAATCTTGAAATATATGGAGTTGTTTTAGGCTGTCATTTTCTTTTTGTATCGAAGGATTCAATTAGAGGTACTTTGCTCTCAAATACATGGTTCATTGATTCTTTTTGTTTATAGAATTTTTCACAACTACTAATTTTGAACAAATACAAGGGAGTGTAGTTGTTCAAGTTTTATGAGGATCATAACCATAAAATTGTTGATAATATTTTGGTCGTTCTGCTGTAGTGGATGTTTTCTTTATATAGGTTGATTCTTCCTACTTCATATATATTTTACAATGTTGTGGCTGTGGTTGTTATACATGATCATTTTTTGCTTCATCTAGACTTTTGGGTTTAATTTAAAGTTGACTTCATGCGAATTCTGCTTTCTCATTTTATTGGTAATCGTAGAACTTCATAAGTCTGTTTATTCTTTTGTTATTATTTCTTGAGTGATACTTCCAAGAACTATAGGAAGTCAACCCTTTGATATACTGGCCTCTTTGTTAAAAAATAAAATAAAATAAAATAAAAAATAAAAAAAATCTAAGGTTTGCCTTACATTATGATAATCTATGAAGCACAGGTGCAGGTACGGATAATGGTACGGGTATTCCGATACAGAAAGACCTAAAAAAAAAAGGATTCGGGTATGACTGGGGTACGTCAATAAATATTTTATTTTTTATAATTTATAGTTTGAGGTTCAATTTAAAAATCAAAGTTCAATACCAAAACTAAAAGGAGAAATTAGAAAACCAAAAAAGAAATCATAGGTCAACAATACCAATACCAGACCAAAGTCTATAAGTTATTTTAATGCCATTAAATAGGAGAAATTACAAAATAAAATTTCATTCCAAAAGCAAATTAAGCAAAATTTGAAAACTTAAAATTTTAGTTTTCACTTCCATCAACTTCATCATTGAATTTCATCTCTGGCACATCAAGTAAAGGATTTGCAATTTCAAGTAAATAAGAACTCTTTAATAAATTAAACGTATCTCTAGCAATGTCCCATAACTTGGTGTACTCCCGATATACTCATGGAGTATTCAACTGCTAAAGAATGTATAAAAAGTATCCGGTACATATTTCTTGTACCCCGGTACACATGCAGTCCTATCGGTATGAGTACCAGTATCTAGTACGATAACATTTTCAAAGTACCTGTGCTTCATAGATGATAATGTTTCAAATGGCTCTAAATATACTGAAAAAAGTCAAGATTGTTTGTTTTTATCATAACTCTTTCGCCTCTTGATTTTTCTGCATATTTGAAGTACCTTTAGAGTTGCCATGTTTTTGTGGCTGTCATTGAAATGAACACTTTTTGTTTCAAAGGTATAGGGAAGGAAATCTCCATTTAAAAATAGATGAAATAAAAAATAGTCCCTATTAATCGAGTTCAATGGTAGAAACCTAGAATTATTAGCATAGTGGCAACTTGCGTCATGCTTGGTAGTTTGACCTTTTACTTGTGGATTCAGCACCTAAAGAATTGAAATTTTGATTTAGCATTCTGAGGTCTTTGACACACACTGCAGGACATTGGGGTTCTTATGGTTTGGAGGCTAGAGATGGAGGCTTTGCCCTACGTTATGCCCACGAGTATGCTTGCCTTAGGCAAGTCCTACTGAGAAAGAGACCGTGTCACTAAGCTCATGTACGAAGTATCGATGATCGAGACAAATCCTAAAACGTGTCTACATTCTGGCATATCTCAATGGAATCTTGGAATATCCAAACAGTTGGTTATGGTCATGTGACCAACCTTTAATAAATAAAAGACAGGACTCCCTTACATCACAGGATTTAATACATCATCTTCCAAAAGGGTCTTTCTCAAGCTCTCAAACTCTACCACCTCTCTCTCTAGCTGGATTGCTCCATTGCTTTGCCAATCCTTCGCCGGGTCCTCAATATTTGTCATATTCTACCACTCTCCGGTGACCTTGTGACCTCCAGTCCTTAGTAGCCAAAAACTCCTATGGGGGGCCTTGTTCTAGAACCTTGCTCCCACCCATCCCCACTCCTGCTCCCAACCTTGAACTCTTCTATAGGACTAGTCCCCTGCCTCCACTTTGTGCAACTATCCTCCAGTCAGCTCCATCTACATTCAGGTGATTTCGCTGAGTGGCCTTCATGTTCATAGCTTACAAGAACACTCAAGTCTATCAAGCTCATTGGAATTCCATTCCTGAAGAATCTTAGGAACATTCACAAGACATTGTACTGGCTTTGCCACCAGCACCACAACTGGAGGCACCATCCGATGTCATTGTCACTCTAGTCTCATTTATAATCTACGTTCAACAATTCCAAATCCTTATGAACCAGTGCGTTTATCCTATTAGCCAAATACTTCCTCTGTTGCTTCAGAATATCACACCTAACACAATTCCTCCAAGCTTTGCTAGTGCTGCTCCACGTACCCCTAACCTTACTGAGGCGGCAAGTGGTGGCTAAACTACCTATATTTCGTAAAAACATATACCAAATCAGCATAATCATTTGAATATGTGATGCTTGTGGAAATCCTAATTCCAGCTTGATGTTGATATATATTGTATTACTTAACGGTTCCTTGTGATTCTAGAGCCAGTTCTTAGCTTTATAATGGGGAATGAAAATGTGTTGAATGAAGATGAATTGAAGATTAAGGATTTATTTATTTATTTATTTATTTTGGGGAATGAAAAGCCGTGTCTTTTTATGAATATTATAGTTTTTTTTTTTTTGGGGTTAACTTTAATTAGGGTTTCCTAGGATGCCTATAAATAGCTCTTTATTTAATGGTTTTATCAGACTTGGCTTGAATAATGAAGAATCGATATATTGTTTGGGATTGGTTCCCTGTTTCTCCTCTCTCTATATTCCTTCTCTCTCTTTTTGTTGTTTCTTCTTGATGCTACATCACTTTAACTTGATTCCACTGTGTTGTAGGCAAATCCACCTGATCGTAAGATTTTTCCATTTATGTTACTTGGAAATAAGATTGATATAGATGGTGGAAGTAGCCGAGTGGTAAGGATATACAATTGTTGTTCGGTTTAAACCTTCATGTGCTTTTGTGTTTGGATCTAATATTTCCACACACAGGTTTCTGAGAAGAAAGCGAGAGAATGGTGTGCTTCAAAAGGGAACATTCCTTACTTTGAGACATCTGCAAAAGAGGATATCAATGTTGATGCTGCTTTCCTGTCAATTACCAAAACTGCTCTAGTCAATGAGCATGAGCAGGATATGTAAGTTCACTTTGCGGACTTGGCACAAATATTTAAATTTCTATGCATTGATCTTTTTTTTTTGGGATAAGTACACTACTTGTTGATTGATGGTTGGAAAATATGGAACGTGTTTTGGAAAAAATATCGATGTTGTATACTGGAAATTGTTATGCTTTTGCAGGGGATAGGTATTCCTCCATTGTGTAAAATATAGATAAATACTTCCATTTGGATCTTGCATTAAGTCATAAAGCTGTCTAAAAGGCTTGTTAAGGGATGCATATTATCCCTGAATTTATTTATCTTATCAATATTATATTATTATTTTCAAAAATATGTTACAGAATAGTATTCACTCATATGGTCAAGATAGTTTGAAGTTTTCTATTACCCTTGCTCATGAGTTGCAGTTCCTATTATTCCTATCAATTTTACAATTAGGTATCATTTTTCCAAAAGATTAGGATAATCGTAGGTTACAATTTTGACGAATAAAGTGCAGATATCTTTTTCAACAAAGTGTGTCATTTCTTGAGGTAATTAATTCTTAAAGTTTGACGGACTCTTTAAGCATAAAATCATATCATACATGTCTTTCTGATATGGATGTAGTCTGTTACTTCTCTAGTCCTCAAAAATTTTTATGCCCACATGTATTATGGTGCTGTCTGCTTAAGTTATCATGCTTCAATGGTAAATGACCATTTTTTAACATACTATATGAATTTTAATCTTATCTATATAGCTATCTTTGAAGGTGACAATAGTGATTACGATGTTGGAACAAATTATAAAGGAGACACATGATTTAGGGTTTCAGGAAAGTTGAGATATTGGGAAATCTTCCTGTCCAAAATTTGACAATTCCTGTCAAAATAAATAAAAAAATACAAAAAATACTTGCCATAACCTTGGATATGGGGTGAAAATAAATGACCCTAAATTCGAGAGTTAAACACTGCCGCTTCTCTTATCATGACCGTGTCAGCACACCACACTAAAACTCACTGACTAGAACTCCCACCACACAGACCTTCAACATTCAATTGCTAATGAACCTTGCATGACATTGCAATTGTCACAATTATGTGCACAGGCATAGATTATGCACATTGACATGCATGATAAAGGCATTTTATCAAAATTCTTTGTAGTCTGGTATCTTAGAGGATTGTATGTGGTCATTGAATTTCCCTACTGTTATGTGTCATTTAACATAAAAGTGGATTGTCCACAATCTTTTGCTTCTAGTCTTCCTTGCAATATTAGTTGGGACTGGGAGAAGAACCTAACTATGAGGGCTATGCAATTTTAGTATCGTTCTTATGTCTGAGTAGCTTTTATTTATTTATTTATTTTTTAAAGAAGCTGATATCTTTTTAAGGTTGTTTATCTTTTACTAGTTATCCTACTTTTATTTTTTATTTTTTATTTTTTTTATCACATGGTATACATTAGTATTCAATAGGGGTTGGCTATTAGTAGGGGAAGGGGGCAACTCAAAGGGTATCAAACTCCTTTCTATAGGATTTGAACATGCAACCTCACACCACTAGGCCAAAGGCCCTGGTTTACTTTTGATGTAGTTCAAGTTTTGTATGTTTTGTTATTTGGTTGTGGGTATTAATTTTAGCCATTTTGTCATTTAAAAAAAAATAAAAATAGATGGTATTGTAATTGAACTATATTATGCTTGTTTTGATGTTTACATTTGCAATGTTCTTATGGTATATCGACCAGTCTTCTTTGTTGAACAATATTAATTTGCTTGTAAAATATTTGGAAGGACTTTCTTAGTATTTGTGTAGGTTTACTGGTTTGGTGTTTCTCATTTTTACTACAATACATATTATGTCCTAAAAATAAAATTATATAGTGAAAAGCCATTTCCAAGCCATTCCTTTATGCCTTGAGGCATTCGGTTTAGCTTTCACACAAGGCTTTTGTGTTAAAAAACACTACAATGGTTTACAACATATTCTTCTTTTATTCTTCCTTCTCGTTTTTTCCTCTGTGATTTCTGCATTGTTGGTTGTTCTTGGCTAATTCCCTCATATAGAGTTTACCATGTCAAATCAATCTACAAATGTTATGCCATGCCACTCAACCATAAGTTTTATAATATGAAGGAAGAAAAGAGACAGATTTAATTGAGCAACCAAAAATAAGCAGGCATGAAACTGCTAAGAAATAATTATGGGAAATGTTTGATGTGGTAAGTTATGTAGAAAAGGGTGGGGACATCATGATTCATCTGCTTCGCATCTGAGGTCATCTGTACTCATTTCTTATGGTTGTCATCTGTATGGAGTACCTTGTGGTAGCCATGCAATTCATTATGATGAAAGAATGGTTTTTATTGTAATATGTTTTTACGATCGTAATAAATAGAATAGCCGTAGTATTGGTTGACAAATTTTTGGTGCTGATATAAATTAGATAGTTGCAGTGGTGATGCTTGTTATGTAATAGAGATTAGATGCCATAGCAGGATAAATCCAGTCGATAATGATGGACAATTATGACAACTACCTCAGAGGAGTTTGAGGTAGTAATATAATGCCCATGGTCAAGGGTTTCTCCCAAAAAAAGGCCTTTGGCACTTCTAACTCTAAGCTTCCTAACCGTTTTTACATCTGAGCATTTAAAATGTTTCTGGAAAAAAACCAATTTATGAATTTGGATTTTGGGTGTTTTGTTGATTCACCTGAAATTGACAAATGAACGAGTACTTGTATCTTGAGATTTTGGAATGCATGCACCCGTGTTTCATCAGGCAGGCTATGTTTGTTTATCATAGTACACATGGATTATGTGTTTAATGTTCTGTATTGAGTTTAGGAATGTTTTTTTAATTCTTTGAACAGGTAGAACTTTGAGGATTTGTTTTGTTAGATGATTATATCATTCTCTAGTATAGGGTTGTAAAGACCTTGGTGAAATTAGAGAACGAAGAAAAATTGTTCAAGATGTAGTACATGCAGAACCTTATAATTGTTGCTGTGGTTTTCCCTGTAGTAAGAAATTGATTTCGTTTGTTCAAGATGTAATACGTGCAAAACCTTATAATTGTTGTGGTTGACGCATGGTTTGAAATAATTCCATTTAAATTTTAGTGGGTGTTGGACAAAATTATGCAAAAATAGCTTTGTAAATGTGTTGCTGAATGTTGTGATAATATAATTAGTGTTGCTGTTGTTATTGTTGTTGTTTTTGGTTTGCTTAGTTGGGGTGTTTTCATTCATAAGGCTTGTTCAAATCCAAACACATGCTATATTCTTTGTACAATCATGTACAAATCCATACACTTTCAAATCTATTATTCCAAATGCAACCCTAGATGTTAGGTTCCTTTGGAGTTAGTTCTTTAAAGTGTAGTGGAGATATTAGTCTCAAGATTCACAAATAATCTTTGTTGCTCCTAATCTTGTTTTCTTTTTTGTTACTTCTAATTTCAATTTTCAGATACTTCCACTGATGGCCGAGTCCCAGAATATATACCACTAGATCAACTGGAGTCAGATATAGTAGCGGGAATAATAAGAAGGGAGGCTATAAATGGAATGGAGCTCATAATATTCTCAGATACATTGGAAAGCCAGAAAACACAAGGGTTTGCAGTTGGAAACAGCTGCAGCGGACTGTTTCATTTCTTAATGTTGTCAGTTTCCTGTTTTCTGTTTACAAAATCAGGCAATAATTTTTTAGGTTTTAGTATTTAGCTTTTTTGTGCAGAAAACTTGTTTGGTATATAGAATTAGAGAAATATGTTTGGTCAGTTGCCAGATGTGGTGGCCAATGGTGGACAGTGGACGGCGGTGGGGGTGGACGGAGGTGGCAATTAGAGTTGGTCGCCGAAGGGCCATCGAAAGGTTGCTGGAGGTCACAAGGATGACAGGTCAATCGACAAAGTCACTGAAAGGTCGCTGGAGGTCACAGGCAGACAGCCGGCCATGATGGGTGGTGGGAGAGAGAGGAGAAAGTGAAAATTTGTTTTGAAAACAAGTGAAATTTTTACTTACCAAAAAAAAAAAACTTATTTTTATTTCCCAAAAAATTTGAAAATTTTATATAATGGCATATTTTTTATATTATATAAATTATTTGTTTTGATGGTATTAATTATTTTTTATAATAAAAAATGTAAATATAGTCAAATTTTAATAATTTAATAATATAGTTGCAAAAAAAAAAAAATTGAAATTCATTTACAATTCAAGCAGCTCAGGCAATTCGGGTTTAATTCAGGGTCGGGTTTAGGCAGGCAACCTCATATTACAATTCGGGTCTAGGCGAGCTTAGGTAGGTCTCAGCACAACTTGGGTTGGGCTTGGACAACCTCCCAACCTAACCGAATTCGTCCGAGTTGTACCCCTAGTTGTATTCCATTCATGACTTTGCCTGGGGATTGGTGCATTTCCCCCTTACCTCGGTGGTTGGTTCTTTTCTTTGGATTGGGGTAAATCTGGTCATAATACCGGAACCTAGGGGTTACAATGATACCTCCAAGCAACACCCTTTTTTCCCCAATTCAAAAAATAAAATAAAATAAAATTTTAATTTTAATTTTAATTTTTATGAATACATATAAAGATTTAAAAGATGATCAATTTAAATTATAAAGGGTAAATTATAGTTATGAAACTACATTATAAATATACCGCCTAAGATATGCTTAAAATACAAATTTTCTCTTGTATTTTTAAAAATTATATTTCATCCCTTCAAGTTTCTAATCACATATTAAATAATCATTTTTATTTATAAATTATTAAGTCCATTAATTGTTTTTAATATTATCAAAAATATATTTCAATTAACAATTTAGATAATTTTATTGTTGTATAAAAGAGTAATTAGGATTTTTTTTCTGTTAAATAAAAATTGTAACAAAGATGTATTTATAATTTTAAAAATTATAAGAGACAATTTATATTTTAAATAAATTTTAGAAAATGTATGGGCAATTTATCAAATTGTAAATTATCAATATAACATCCATAATGAGTACTAAATGGGTCCTGTTCCAATCCTCTCTCCTAAAATCAACCGTGCTACGTCGCTCGAAACTGAGCCGCCCTTAATCCCCCGAACCAAAAACGACGTTGTTTCGTCGTTTTTGATTTTTTTTTTTGCAGAAGAAGAACGAAGCTCGGAGAAGAAGAAGGAAGAAAGGAGGGAGGGAAGGAGGGAGGAGGAGGAGGGACTGGAGGGGGCATAATATTCGGGAGAGGAGGAAGCAGAGGTGGGGCGACGGCGGGGAGGAGGAGCTGCTGCTGTTGCTGCGACGAGAGGCAGAGGCGGGGCGACGGCGGGAAGGAGGAGCTGGCGGTGAGGCGACGACGGCGGGCGGCGAGACGATCAGAGCTCTCCTCTCCTCTCTCTTTCTCTCTCTCTCCTCCTCTCCTCCTCTCCTCTTTCTCTCTTCTCTTTCTCTCCCTCTCCTCTTCCTCTCTGCAGACTGAAAATCGAAGGAAAAAAAGAAAAGAAAAGAAAAGAAAAAAAAAAACCTAATGCCCAAAACGACGTCGTTTTGGGCATTAGGGGGATTAGGGGGCAGGGATTTTCGAGCTCTCAAACATTATTCCTCCTAAAATGATGTCCAATCCAGGGTAGGGATGTGTGGTGCACTTGTCTCTACATATAACTTATGGAGAAAATATGTATGTTTAAAATGAATTAAATTAAATTATTGATAAATTTTATAAATAGTAATAATTAATATCTTAATTTTTTTTTATTTTTTATAAATTTATAATTATATTGTGAAACTATCATCACTTTATTGTAATTTCTCCTAAATTATATATTGCAAGCAGATAGATACTATACAGGGATTGTTTGGGATGATTTAAATAAATATACTTTTTGACTTTTTACGATAAAATGTATAAAAAAAGTATGGAGGTAATGTGATCCAAATAAATATACTTATCTAAATAAGTGCACTTATTTAATTTAGGAAAACTTACTGATAAGTCTCATACACAAAATTCAAAACTCATCTAGTCTCAAAACAAAATACTTGAACCAATTAGTCCTACTATTTTTAATTGCTACCAAAAAAATTTATTTTTTTAAAAGAAAAAATTTAAAGACACTGCTACATTCCACCACCGCCGGATTTTCATCGGACAGTCATCGGAGACTCGTCGAAATGTTTACCATCATCGGGAAGTCGCCGAAATATCACCGGAAATTCGACGGAGTATCGCCAGAATGTTCTGAATATCACCGGAAGTCGTTGGAATATCTAGAATATTCATTGAACGTCAGGAATATCTAGAATATTCATTAAACGTCAAGAATATGGCTGAAGACTCACCAAAACGTCCAAAATATTGATAAAAAAAATAGAATAAACTGAAAAATTAAAACAAAAAAACATAGCAAGATGAATAAATATTGATATTTTGAAAGGAAAAAAAAATTAAGAATAACAAACAGCAACAATGGGAAAAAAAATGTTATTTTCAATTTTTGTAGGGTTTAAGAAAATAATTTTCAATATTGATCAAACTGAAAAATAAGCTTTGAAACTGTAAAATGTTACAGTTTCAAAATATAATTCTATTAAGTATTTATCTTTATTAATAAAACTGAAAAACATGTTATAAAATTGTAAAATTTAACAATTCTAAATAAAGTTATGAAACTACAAAATTTTACAATTCTAAAGAATGATTCATTTTAGCACCAAAAAAACTGAAATTGTAAAATTTTACAATTTTCACCGCCTGTAACTAAAATTTGAAAACAATTTGTTCAGAACTTGAAAATTTTCTATATTATAACAGAAAAATAGAAGTGTGTAGTACAGAAAAAGTAAAAAAAAACTGAGAGATCGAAGAAAAGAGACAAATATAGAGAGATGTTTGTACTTCGATAGCTATTTTTTGGTTTAAATCTAGCCGGATCTAACGTAGATCTGAGTAGATCTCCTCAGATTTGATGTAAGATCTGAGTAGATCTACTCATCTTCTTTGTCGAAAACTCAGTTCTTTCGCCATCGGTGAGCAAGAAGTATGGAGTTGGTGCTCGATGGTTACCGATGAACTCCAATCAATGGTGGTCACCGGTCGCCGATGACTATAGATTAGAAAAATAAAGAAGAAAGAAAGGCGTGGTCGTGGTCGTGGTCGTGGTCGTGGTCGTGGTCGTAGTCGAAGGCATGGTCGTCGTTGATATCAAAGAGAAAAAGTCAGGTGTAAGAAAAGAGAAGAAGATAAATGGATATAAAACTTTTGAATATATCCAAGAAAAATTAAAATTAAATAAAATATACACTTTTCAAAAAGAACTTTTGAATAATTTGTTCTTTAATTTATGCCAAATAGTGCCTATTTCGATCATCATCTCCGAAAACAACAATTTAAACCAATCTATCTCATAATTCCAGGTCAGACTTTCCTGAAACATAACTGTAAAACATGGCAAGCATTAATTTCACCACCAATGCTACAGATTCTTACAAAAATACAATCCCAACAACTCTCACTTATTTGTAATTGGACCAGAAAGAAAAGAAAAAAAATTTAAAAAAAAAACAAAAAAATAAAAATACATGATTGGTCCA